CCTACCCAGGCATCAGCCTGTCATAAGAGATGTGATGTGGCTTTTTATAATATGGGAGAGAGGGGCTACTGGAACATAGAGAATTAGCAAGTCGTAAGGAAAAAACGTATAGTAGGCTATACAAAGTTAGATAGCAAAGTCTGAAGGTTGTCAGTCCAGGGCTACTCTGCTGCCTCAAGATGTAAGATTCAGCCCGGCCGCCGTGGCTCAGTGGTGAGCGTCAGCCTAGTAACCAGGAGGCACATGCCCGGGTTTCGGGCTCAATCCCCAGTGTGGGACGTGCAGGAGGCAGTCAGTCGATGATTCTCTCTCATCATTGGTGCTTCTATCTCTCTCTCCCTCTCCCTTCCTCTCTGAAACCAATAAAAATATATTTTTAAAAAATGCTCAAGCCCCTCTAATTTAAGAAAACGAACACACAAGACATAATAAACAAGTAAATAAAAACCCTTCCCTATAGTTGAAAACAGTCCTCCTTATATCCTCTTGGCCAGAACTTGGTCACATGGTCACACTTAACTACAAAGGAACCCGGGAAAAGTAGAACTTAGTCTAAGTGGCCGTGTTCTTAGGCAAAAACCAGCGATTCTGTTACTAAGGAAGAGCAAACAGTTGCTGGGGCACAGTTAGCAGGCGGCTGCTACAGCTGCATTAAGAGCAAATTTATGACAACTGAAGAGCCATGGCACAGACCTGCTCACTCAGCTCTGGCATGCATACCGAGCGCCTGCCGAGGACAGGGCACCGTGCCCGGCGCACAGCTGCTTCTGTTCTCCAGGCCGGGGAGGGCGTCAGGTCTGTGGTGGACGTGGCCACGGACCGGGGTCCTGGGGATAATTCCCCTGTGAACTGGCTGCCGTGGAGCCTCCCTCAGGACACTTACCTTCGCAGCCCCCTTCACCATGGGGGAGCTGGGGAGATGAATTCATCTGGTCAAGGTGGCCAGCAGTCCAGGCCCTTAACCACTGCTCTGAGCACCGGTTAGCACTGCCTGGAGGGCTGCAGGCCGAAGCCGTGGCTCCTCCCCGGCATCATCCCGGCCCAGACGCCAGTGACCCGGCTGGGCCTACTCACAGCTCCAGGCTCCCCGCCATGTTGTCTGCAGAGATCCTGGCCATGGGCTGGCCAGGGCAGAGTAGGCACTGGGGCTGGGAGAGAGCGGCCCAGGGAGGTTTTGGTGACAGGATCAGTGGCTCAGGCACTGGATCCAGGCAGTGACCTTAGCTTGCCCTGAGGGTAAGATACACAGTCGGCAGTGAACACCCAGAGCAGCGATTGTCAAGCTGAGTGAAGTCAGTAGGGGGATGGATTGAGGAAAAAGAAAGAACAGTAACAAAACGAGAGACTGACAGAGGCAGAGTGCGCTGCACGAGGTAAAGCTGAGCCGTGTCCTGAGGTGTCAGGCCAGGTTGATGGGTGCGCGCTGGCTTGGGATGTAAGTGCGTTTGTTGCTGGGGTGACCCTCAAGCAAGTGCCCACCTTGGATCTGGAACCCCCCTGTCCACAGAGAGAGCTGTTAAGCATAATTGGAATCATTGCTTTGATCTAACATTTTAAAAAACATTTCACCTATTATTTTATATTGAAGGTGACCCAGTTTTGTAGAAAAGTTAAAACAGTATAGAAATGTGCTGTTTTATCCTAACCCTAAAAAGCTCCCGCCAGCCCCACAGTCCATCACAGGGCTGGCGAGTTTTCGTGGGTCTTTGTGGAAAGTTTTGCTGCTTCTACAAACATCCTTTTCCTTTTTTATTTTTTAAAATATGGTTTTATTCATTTTTAGAGAGAGAGAGAGAAACATCGATGAGAGAAACATCATCCATCGGCTGCCTCCTGCACGCACCTCAACTGGGGACCGAGCCCCCAAACTAGGCGTGTGCCCGACTGGGATCGAACCCTGACCTCTTGACTCATAGGTTGACGCCTAACCATTGAGCACGCCCGCTGGGCTCATCTATTCTTTTGTTACTTGTATTTTTGGTGTCATTTCTAAGAAGTCTTTGTCTAACCAAGGTTACAAAGATTTTCTCCTATATTTTCTTCTGATAAAGTTTTAGATCTTAAAGTCCTTGATCCATTTGAGTTAACTTTTGTGTACTGTAAGGAAGGAGTTCAACTTCATTCTTTTTCAGTGTGGATCCATTCATCCCAGCTCCAGTTGTTGAAAAGATTATTCTTTCCCTATTGAATAGTCTTGGTAACCTTGTCAAAAGTCAGTTGGCCATAAATGTGAAGTTCCATTTCTGGAGTCTCAGTTTCATTCCATTGATCTAGATCTCTGCCCCAGTTGTCTTAATCACTGTAGCTTGGTTTTGAATTCAGGAAGTATGACTCCTCCAACTTTTTTTTGCTTTTTTCAGAATTGTATTGGCTATTCTGAGTCCCTTGAATTTCCATGTGACCTTTAGGACTTGTTTGTCAGTTTCTTCAAAGCAGCCAGCTCAGATTTTGATAGTGATTGGGTTGAACCTATAGATCAATTTGGGGAGTACTGTCCTCTTAACAATATAAATCTTCTGAACACAGATGTCTTTCCATTTATTTAGATCTTTAATTTCTTTGGACATGCTTTGTTTTCGTTGTACAAGTCATGCACTTGTTTTGGTAAGTGCAATTATTTTCTTAATTTCATTTCTGATTGTTCATTGGTAGTATATAGAAATAATACTGATTTTTGTTCATCAGCCTTGATGAACTCTTTCTTGACTATCTTTGCATGTCTGTGTGTATCCAGAGCTTGCACTGTGACAATCCCAAAGCCTTTCCTGGTTTGGGCAGGCCTCCATGGATGAGCACTGGGCTGTTACCAAGAACCTCTGAGGGCCCCTCACTCATTCCAGGGGCATGAATTGAGTGCCCACTCTGCCGGGCACTCTGAAGCACTGGGACATCCTATATAATAAAAGGCTGATATGCAAATCAACAGAAGGGTGGAATGACTGGTCACCATGATGCGCACTGACCAGCAGGGGGCAGATGCTCAATGTAGGCTCTGCCCCCTGGTGGTCACTGCGCTCCCACAGGGGGAGCGCCGCTCAGCCAGAAGCCGGGCTCACAGCTGGTGAGCGCAGCCGCGGTGGCAGAAGCCTCTCCTGCCTCCACAGCGTTGGCCTTCCCCTGAGGGGTCCCGGTCTGCGAGAGGGAACAGGCCGAGCTGAGGGATCCCCCCCTGAGTGCACGAATTTTGTACACCGGGCCTGTAGTCTATACTAATAATAGCCTAGGTGGCGTCCTGCCCTCACATCATCACAAGATGGCTGCGCGCACAGAGGAGGCAGGGCCCAGCGACCACTCAGCGTGGTGAAGCCTGGGGGTCCCGCGGCTCTGCGCAATGCAGAGGAGGCTGGTCCCAGTGTCTCTACCGCCTTGCGCGGAGGAGGCGGGTCCTGGCGGAGGAGGCGGGTTGCGGCAGGGGAGGGCAGTTGTGGGCAATCAGGCCAACAGGGGATCAGGCTGGCAGGCAGAAGCGGTTAGGGGCAATCAGGCAGGTGAGCGGTTAGGAGCCAGTGGTCCCGGATTGTGAGAGGGATGTCCGACCGGCAGTTGGACATCCCCCGAGGGGTCCCAGATTTGAGAGGGTGCAGGCTGGGCTGAGGGACACTCCCCCCCTCCATGCATGAATTTTGTGCACCGGGCCTCTAGTAGACAGTAAATGAGTGAATGAGATGATTTCAGTCTGGGAAAATCTATGAAGAAGTAAAACAGACTATGTGCTAGGGGAGTGACTAGTTATGCGTTCGAGAGCGGTTTTTTGTTTATAATAATTTTTTATTTTTCAAATACAGTGGATGTTCAATGTTATATTAGTTTCAGGAGTACAGCATAATGGTTAGACCTTTATATAACTTACAAAGTGATCCCCCTGATAAGCCTAGTACCCACCTGGTACCATACTCAGTTATTACAATATGATTGACTATCTTCCCTATCCCTATGACTATTTTGTAACTACCAGCGATGTACTTCTTAATCCCTTCATTTTTTCACCCATCCCCCGAACAGCCCGTCCGTCTGGCGCTCCTCAAATATTCTCTGTATCTGTGAGTCTGTTTCTATTTTGTTTGTTTACTTTGTTCTTTAGATTCCACATGTAAGTGAGATCATGTGGTGTTGATCTTTTCTCTGTCTGACTTATTTCACTCAGCACAATGCCCTCTAGGTCAATCCATGTTGTCACAAGTGGTAATATTTCGTTCTTGTTTTATGGCTGAGCAGGATTCCATTGTATATATGTGGCACCACTTTTGTATCCAGTTGTCTGCAGATGGGCATGGGTTGCTTCCATATCTTGGCTAGTGTACATAACGCTGCAACGGACATAAACATGCAGATATCTTTACAAATTACTATTTTGGGATTGCTGGGTCGTGAGGTTGTTCTGTTTGTAATTTTTTGAGGAACTTGAGGGGTTCTTTGAATTGAGTCGGAGAATGTTCCTAGAAATGTGGCTTTTGAGCTGGGATCCAGATGGCGAGGAAGAACTGTGTCGGAAGATTAGGAGGGCTGTTCCTGGCATGAGGAACAGCAAGGACAAGGCCCTGAGGCGGGAATAGGTCCCCGTGTTCACGGATGGGAGAGAGCAGTGGGCGTGGGGGGCCGCCACAGCTGGAGGAGACCAGGCAGAGGCCAGGTCGCTCGGGCCTGAGCCCTTCGAAGGCACTGAGATTGTACCAAGAATGTGGAGAGGAGCCGAGGGCGAGTTGGGCGGGGACCCTTGATCTGAATGTCCTGAAAAGATCACTCTGGTTGCTTAAGGCAGCGCTTCGTTCCCTGCCTTGTTTTCAGCGCTGAGTTCTTGGAAGGAGGATTGCTGGTCGCCGAGTTTGTACATTTGATGTGCTCCTACCTGCCGCCCGCCAGGTGCCTCCCACCCGGCCGCCAGGTGCCTCCCAACCTTCAGCCTGAGGTTGCAGCTCTTGTCACCAGCGGCGTGTAGATGAGGTGCCGGTGAGCCAGCCTCCACCCGGCCCCAGCACCCACATTCGTGCTTCCCTTTGCAGGGCCTTCTCCGCAGCAGCTGCCCAGGAACTCTGGCTGTGCCACCCCCCCCTTGGGTACCACGGGCACCCTGGGAGCATGGCCGACGAAGACCTCATCTTCCGCCTGGAAGGCGTTGGCGGCAGCCAGACCTCCAGGGCTGGCCATGACAGGGACTCTGACACAGACAGCGACGACGACGAAGGGTACTTCATCTGCCCCATCACCGATGACCCCCGGGCACACCAGCATGGCAGCTGCCAGGTTGGTGACTACTGCAGCGACCTAAGGAAAAGCGAGCAGCATGGCTTCGGCGCCTCCCCGGGGAGCTCCTTCAAGATCAAGGTGAGTGGATCGCCGGCCCCACCGACCCCAGGCCAGGTCACCCCCCGGGGAGGGCAGTCGGGTCTCCTGTATTCCAGCCGGGGCAGCGTGTACATTCTGGGTCTGAGTCTGTGCCTGTTAAGCTGATGGCCAGCTTAGAGTAGTGTTTCCAAAGAGCAGCTCGGACCCGCTCCGGGGTTGGGAAAACCTTGATCAACTTTTTTAAGAAATGGAAGAGAACGGAAGAGGAGGGAATATTGGGAGGCATTGCAAATTGTAAAGATATTATTTTTCGGAACATATGTATGCACACGTTCACACACGTAAATGTGGTGATCAACTTAGCTTCTCACGACAGACCAGTTAACTGTTTTTATTTCACTCCTGTGTGTGATGTAAAATGTAGTCCTTGATGTTGGTTGCAGTAATAAAAGCCAGTGCTTGGCTCGGCCTGTGTGCTCAGTGGTTGAGCATCGACCCAGGAACTACGGCCACTGGTTCGGCCACCGGTTCGATTCCTGATCAGGGCACATGCCCGGGTTGCGGGCTCCATCCCCTGTGCAGGAGGCAGCTGATTGATGACGTTTCTCTCTCATCGATGTTTCTATCTCTCTATCCCCCTCCCTTTCTCTCTCTCTCTGAAAATCAATAAAAACATCTTTATAAAAAGAAAGCCCATGCTTGGGTTGGGCATCCTCCTGGCTTGAGGGACAGGGCACTTGTTTTGTTAGGGGTTTGTGTTCATATCCCGGCAAAGCTTACGCAGAGGAGAGGGAGAAACCCTGCTGGGCTTTTGTGTAGCTGGTGGTGAAAACAGTTTAATGCAGTACTGTTGCCCTTATTTCACTTAATCCTCACAAACAGATACAGTGTCTGGTAGCAAAGTGCTTATTACCATTAGGGCTTTGAAATTAAAATCACGTTTGTAACCTCAGAATTAATCTGTTTTTGGAAAATCAGTAATTCAAGCTCTTGGACAGTTGAATATTTTTTCCTCTCAGGGCCAGAAGTCTGGTTTGAGTTCCCCTGGGGCAGGCAGCTCCAGAAATAGCCCCGGGGGTTCCCACTGAGGTTGGGGCCACTGCAGGGTGAGGCTGTGGCTTGACCCCCTGCCTGTTTTACAGAGGCCCCAAGGGAGGGCGGGAGAGCTGTCTAGCCTCCTGCTGTCCATTTTAGGTCAGGAAGGCTCCAGGCACCGGATGCCTGTGTGTGGCGTCCTGCCCCAGAGGGGTGGGCTCCAGGCTCCAGGCAAAGGGGAATTTACCGTGACAGTTCAGGAGAGCTTCCTGGGACCCAGGGGTAGCCGTGACCAGATCCAGGAGCCAGAGGCAGTAGGACCGTCTCTATCTCGTCTCTCAATCTCTGCCTATTCTGTTTTGTTGTGTGTTTTTTTAATTGATATTTTGAGAGAGAGGGGGAGAGAGAAGGGGAGGGGAGGGGAGGGGAGGGGAGGGGAGGGGAGGGAAGAGGAATTGTTTTTCCACTTATGTATTCATTGGTCGATTTTCATATGTGCCCTGACCGGGGATCGAACCCACAACCTTGGCGTATCAGGTCGATGCTCTAACTGACAGAGCTGCCCGGCCAGGCCCGCTCTGCCTATTCTTTATTCTCTGCCTCTCGGTCTACACAGTGAGAAGATGGGCCTCCCAGCCACGGTCCCCTCCTTACAGACGGAGCCACATGCAAAGGCAGATTTGACCTCTGCACCCCAATTCCGTGGGTGCGAGGAGGGGAACCTGGTCGGCCTAGCTTGGGTCAGGCATCCTCCATCTCTGATGTGGTCAGTGCTGGCCAGGGCATGGGATGGGGCTGGGGCTGGGGGGCCACAGAAGAGGGGCTGTTTCCAGGGCAGGAGGATCCTGCTGGTCTCTGCAGGGGGGGTGGGGGGGGAGCGGGGAGGACTCAGGAGGGGCTCCATCCAGCTGCCTGTTCTCAGGAAACGGGTCTGGGGGGCCTCTAGCACACACTGAGTGGGTCCCCAAGCTCAAGGCTCTTAAACACGGATGGACACAGTCTCTGACCACAACAGCTCAGTATGGCGAGGCTTTTAAAGGGAACGCAGGCCTAGTGACCCAGGAAGGGTTTTTTCTGTAGGCGTGGCTTTAGAGCAGCGGTTATCAACCTGTGGGTCGCGACCCCTTTGGTGGTCGAACGACCCTTTCACAGGGGTCGCCTAAGACCATCCTGCATATCAGATATTTACATTACGATTCGTAACAGTAGCAACATGACAGTTATGAAGTAGCAACGAAAATAATGTTATGGCTGGGTCACAACATGAGGAGCTGTATTTAAAGGGCCAGAGATTGAGAACCATTGCTTTAGAGCGTGAGCTTCGTGAGGGCAGGGCCCTGTGTGACCTTCCACACTCACCCCAGTGCCTAGAGCCATGCTGTGCACACAGTAGGTGCTTCATTTGGAATCAGTGAGGCGATGGTTGAATGCTGAGCTCAATGCCCTGTGGGTGCTGTCTCTCTAAAGAGCACATGGAAGACAGTATTTACATAAAGCCCCTGTGGGCCATCTGACTGACAGAAGTTATTACAGTAAAACATTTCTAGCTCAGACGGCAATCCCTTCTCCAAGATTCCTCCCCAGCCAAAGGGTCCCATCCAGGGTGCTGCTGACTTTGGGAGGGACAGTCCTTAGTGGGTAGGAATGTCCCTTGTACTGCAGGAGTCAGCACGCCTGGCCCCTGCCCACGGGGCCACATACCCCAGTCATTATGACAACCCCAAGTATTCTCCGTCTATGTTTGCAAATCCCCATGGGGTCCCGCCTCCACCAAGAACCAGGACAGACGCGTTTGCACCAGGGCTCAGATTTACACACTCAGAGTGTGCTTTGCACTGCTGGGGATGGAGGAAAACATGGGAACCGCTCAAATGTCCGTCCAGAGGAACCTGCTACAGACCCAGGCTCCACGAGTGCTGCATTCACATGCGAGCAGAGGTGACCTTCCCTATGGTTTGACTTGGAAACCGGGCGAAGATATGTAAATCTGGGGGCGGGTCTGTGGAAAGCCTTTGGCACAGTGCTGGTCCTTACGTACCATCTGTTTTGATTTTCATATGCTGTTTTGTTTTTATTTTATTTTTTTAATATATTTTTATTTATTTCAGAGAGGAAGGGAGAGGGAGAGAGAGATTGAAACATCAATAATGAGAGAGGATCATTGATGGGCTGCCTCCTGCACGCCCCCTACTGGGGATTGAGCCCACAGCCCAGGCATATGCCCTTGATTGTAATTGAACCCAGGACCCTTTAGTCCGCAGGCCAATGCTCTATCCACTGAGCCAAACCAGCTAGGGCTGCTGTTTTTTTGTATATGCTGATAAGTAAAAAAGCAAGTTGAAATATAATACAATCCCACTTTTATATAAGCATATATACACACATATATTTGTATTTGCATGACAAAAACTGACAGAATTTTGCATGCAACAATGAACAGTAATTCTCTCTGGGGGAGAGGGTGCAGTTAAGGGGGACTTTGATGATCTACATTATTACATATTATATAGGTTATATATTATACATTACACATTATTTTAAACATTTGGAGCTTTTAAAACTATATGTAGTTACTTACATGCAGAAAAAAAGTTTTTAGAAGAACAATAAAGCAAAAATCAAATCGAGAAGGCGAAGTTCCAAGCCCTCCCCAAGCCTGGCTTTGCCTCTGGTGCCTCTTCCTGAAGCCTCTGTCGTCGGCTGTCTGTGTGTCTGTAGATTGGTTAGGGAGGCTCTGGGACCTGAGCTGAAGACAGGTGCCCTGGCCCTCTCCTGTGCCCCCTGGGGCTGGGCACCCTCTGAGCTCTCTGAGCCTGTCGCCCTGTCATTCTCTGCGGATGGGTCAGCAGGGTGGAGCTCTTGGGTGCCCACGACCTAGGCCCTCGGTCGTCGGAAGTGGGCTCAGGGGGTTCCTTGGCCGGTGGTGACTTTGGAGGGAGACAGCAGCTCAGTTTTCCAAACCTCACCTCGACACACCTAACCTGTTTTTTATTTACTGTCGACATGGCAACCTGGCTGGTTTAAGCAAAATGGCCACCTGGCATTCCTCCAGCAGCTCTGCCAGGCAGGTGCTGGGCGTGGATTGGATGCGGGTTCTATCCCTGCCCAGGCCAGGCCCTCCGCCCACTCCGCGTGCCCACAGGGACAGTGTTTGGTAACGAGCGAGTCGCGCCTTTCTCCTTCTCTCTCATTTCTCTGTTTTCCAGAATAAGCAAATCTATGTTTTACATTTTTAATAGAGGAGGACATTTTATTTTTAAAAATTGCTTTCCTGGCCTGGGACACTGGGCATCGCTCCACATCAGCACACTCTCCCGTGTTTAAGGTGGGTCACTCTGTGTTCCATCACACGAAGTGTGTGGGTGAGGTGAGCCCTCTTGAGGGACACTTATGTTGTTTCACTGCCGTAATACATGTGCTTCTACATGTATGTGAGCAAAGTTTAAAATGCATATATTTTACAGCATGTGAATATATGAACAAGGTAAAAAGAATTCACACTGTAGGAATTATACACATCGAAAAGCCTCCGCCTCGGACCCCTCTTTCCTTGCACGGTGGGCTGATGCCAGCCAGCGCTTTCCTGGCAGGCGCTGTGGGCAGGCGGGGCGCTCGCTGCACGCGGCTCATGTCCGCTCCTGTAACCTGCACAGCAGACCTTGACGGTTAGCCTTTGACAGACAGTAAAGCCGAGCCTCTGCGGTCTTCACCACTGGCTGCTCTGGATGACTGTGGTGTGTTATCTTGCATATTTTGTTGTTGTTTTTTATTGATTTCAGAGAGGAAGGGGAGGGAGAGAGAGAGAAACAACACAGATGAGAGAGAATCATTCATCAGCTGCCTCCTGCATGCCCCTTAGTGGGGATCAAGCCCACGACCTGGGCCTGTGCCCTGACTGGGAATCGAACCTGCAGCTTTTTGGTGCATGGGATGGCGCTCCAACCAACTGAGCCACACTGTTGCTTTTCAATGGCTGAATATCATGCCATTGCTTGGAAGCAGCA